GTTACCCGGGCCACAGCTAGAGGGTGATCTTGTCCTCGACTGATCTTCGGATCCTTCTACGTTTCCACGCGAAAAGTAACACTCGGTCACAGGACCTACATTTCAACAATGAAAACATATTACAAATGTGGAGATCAAGTTGTTATAGCAAAGTACGCGCGACTAGACATGCAACATGGACAGCGACCCTCGACTTTCCCTTTCGTGAGAGCAAGGGAGCCCACTTCAAACGGGGAGCCTTCTCGGGTTTATAAAGGACAGCAGAGTGAATCGAGATTGAAAAATCTGTGATGGTGTACATTTTCATTTGCACCTTATTATAGTCGCTGGACAGGTGGTTGTTTACATTTGATAGGGACATGGCAAAGGTCCCTGTCTTCGTACGCGTGCAATGATTGTAGTGGTATGGTATCTTTTTCCTTCGGCGAGTAGAGGTCAAACGGCCTCTCTATCGTTGAGTCCATAGGAAGTATTATATTGGAATCAGACTGCTTGGTCACGGGCCTACGTAACAAGGTTAGTGGGGGCCCGTCATCCGTCATCCAGGGTTTCAAGAACTCTTGAGCGGACTAGCACAAGTCATCATGTAAAATAGAACTCTAATGCTAGAAGTCCCATTACCAATTGGACGCCGCGTGGAGCGACATGATCGCTCATATAGCCGCACTGGCATAATTAAAGCGTGATTTTCTCCAAATTTCAAAATCGTGTGAAAAAGAAGCACACACACAATTTTGCACGAACTTTCCTGTTGAATCTTCGAATGCCCGATTTTCTTTTCTTTTCCTTGAAACTTCGAGTCTTCCTTCTAACCTCCCTTGCAGCAACACCTCTTCACGCCAAACAAGAAGATGACATGCCAGCAGCTTGTAAATGATGTTCCAGATCGACAAGCTACCAAAGCAATCTTCTGCATAGGGCAGTCTTCCTCTCAATCCCTTTCATCCTTCGCTCCTCAGTAAGAAGCCATGGGTGCGGGTGCCATCCCACCCATCCCCCCGTATGACATCGTTACTGGCTCGGGAACAGGCAATTCGATCTCCTCCTTGGGCTCCAGCACATTCACCACATCCGACAATTTAGCTTTCGGGCCAATCTTGCCAGCAGGGTCGTGCGGCAGCATGATTTTCACCTTGACACCCAATACACCTTGACGCATCAGCACATGCCGCACTGCGTAATCCACGTATTCTCGCTTCGCCTGCCCGGACTTGATCATGTACCCGTCCTGGAATTTCATGCTCTTGGCACGCTGCGCACGGAGCTTGCCCGAGACAATGACCTCGGCACCCTTGGCACCCTGCTCCATCACAAAACGAAGCACGCCGTAGCAAGCTCGTCGGACCGCCAGGCCCCCCAGCAGCTTGTACTTCAAAGACTCGGCCTGGGCTTGTGCGCAGAGTCCTCGTGATGCTACCTTCTCAGCAAAAAGTTCAACGACACCGTCGGGAAAATTAAAGCGTTTCTGGATCACCGTAGTCAGCTCGCGAATGCGCTGGCCTTTCTCACCCAGCACATTCTGCGTACGCGTGGCTGAGATAATGATTTCTGTGCGAAGGGGCACTACACGAACTTCTACGCCGGCGTACCCATCCTCAGCCAGCTCACGCGTCAGGAGCTGTGAATGCGAAATAATTTAAGGGGGGGGCGAAGATAAGGACGGAAAACTCAACTGACATGGAGCTCTACTGCCCCTCCCCAAAAGAAGAGTCTATAGCGGCGTTGCTTCTACAGTTCTCGACAGTCAAACAAGTGTGCTCCAATAGTGAGGGTGACGATCTCTGACAAAGTGGTTATTGTGTGTAGCCCATCATCAGCCCCGCGGCCCAAGGCTCACATATACATGAGCACCTCTCCAGGCCTACGTACCTCGTTCAGCTCGGCATAAAAGACACCATCCGCAATAAACTTCCTTTTCTTGGAGATGTTGGTGGTCATGGTTGACTGTGCCAGAGCAAAGCGTGAAGCGTTTGGCGGGATGGGAAAGAATTATATGAGGGCCGTGAGCATGACAGCTAGTGGTAATACTCTTTCAAGGATCAGGGCCTGTGCTCATCACACATCGTTACCATATCATTCGTACACGTATCCATGTATGTTAATGAAATTCTGATGGCTCCTTGAGCATACACTCCAAGACTGTGAGAGCGAAGGCTCCCTCACTCCTACCGCTACCACACGACCCTCATCACCACCAACGACTGGCACATCAATCCCAACCCCACTCCCCGCTGCCGTCCAAACATTCTCCAAATGTACCATTTTTTCGCAAAGGCAATAAGCACACAACCAGGCTCCCACGACCACGTCTTTTTGTGCCAGGAGCAGTGGGGTGTTTTCTGAGCCATGAATGGCTCCAGCCTCTTCGCTCGTTCATCCGGGTACCCTCTCAGCCTGCTAACGGTTCCCATCCGCCCGCTCGAGGAGAGCCCTTTTGTGAGGCGTGGCGTGGAAGTCGCCGAAATTCTAACAGCACGATTCCTTTTAGAATATGCTTATAATATTTTAAAAATGCTATTACCAAATATGCGGAAATAGCCTCAACCGTTCACCTTCTAAAATGAAAGCTTCGCATCGTTCCCAGCACCCAGACTCCTAGCCAGCACCCTTAGGATTCGCCTTCTTGATACATGTGCAAATGAACCCTATGTGCCAAAGGCTCATCGCACTACCCTTTGCTTTCCCTTACCGCTGCTGTTGTCGGGAGACATATCATACGGGCGCCGAATTTTCATACCCATCTTCTCGACGTTTATGCAGCAGAAGATAAGAAATCTAGTTATCGCGCATGAGTGTTTCTTGCCACACCTTGCAACTCTGACCAATAAGATTCCGGATTTTTTCCTTCCTACTGGTTTGAAGGCCGGTGCACATACAAGTAAACGCCTCTTTTGGCGTCGCAAACAATGCAGGACGATCCGTGATGAATGTAACCCAACAAACTTTCATCCTCGCGTTTCAGCGTGCCTACTTCCCCAGTCACTTTCCTTCTTATGAGTTTCTTCTTTTCTTTCCATGCTGCTCCTCCACAAACCTACAACTTCGCCTCACGCGCCCGACACTTTCCTCTCGGACATCCCATTCAAATCTTCCTCCTCTTTCGACCTGCATACGCATATAGATACCGTGGACCCTTTGAGACGAGGCTGCCACCCCTCCACATTCGCTTCCCGTCTCCCTCCCTCCCTTGCTTCCTCTCTTCCTTCCAGTCTCCCTCTGGGCACGCATCGGAGGGCATCCCATACGGCTTTTTTTTACCACATGTTCGTCTTTTTATTTTTTAGGTTAATGCTCCATTTTTCGGTTTATATTTGAGACCAGAAAAGTCACGACATCGTGTTGCCTGTCAGAGAAATCCATTCCATCCTACGTGCATGGCGTCGGTCCTCAGCCTGCAGCAAAGCCCTACCTTTTGGAAAAAGCGCCGGTAATTCGCCCCTCCCATCCTCCCTCTATCCCTCCCTTCCTCCCTCCCTCCTCTTTGTGCGGCGCCTATCCCAAGACCGTTCCAAACCCAATCCTGTAGTCCTGGAGGGTCTTGGCAGAGCCCTCGACCGTCGCTGAGAGTTGAACCTTAGGGTGAACGTCCTGAGACAGGAATGAGGGAGGGAGGGAGGGAGGGAAGGAGAGCAAGGAGAATTCAGGGGTAAGTGCCTTAAAGCCCAGAACTCAAAAAGCAGAGCAACTCATAGGAGTCAGAATGTTGGAGGGCACCTCATCTTCCTCCCACCCTGCCCTTTTTCCCTTCCTCTTTCCCTCCCTCATCTCCCTTCCTTACGTGGATGGCGGAGAAGGCAAGGAGACCGTTCAGGCTGGTCTTGGCCCGCAGCGTGGTGGAGGCAGAGTATTTGTAGATGCCGCCCACCGTCACGCCGTAGTCACCTGGGAGGGAGGGAGGGAGGGAAGGAGAGAGGAAGGCGGGGACGTGACCGAAGGAGAAGATCGGATCGCAAAGACGAGGACCCCCGCAAGCACGCGTCTCTGTCCTTCCCCCCCTGGGCTCCCTCGGTTGTGCAGCCACCCCTACACCCTCATTCCGTACCACTCGACGGGTATGTGAGCTTGCCGGCGACCGAGAGCGGCGGGCTGGTCTTGAACACGCCGTAGACAGAGTAGTCGAGGCCGGACTTGCCTGGGAGGGAGGGAGAAGAAGAAGGACGGAAGGAAGGAGGGAGGGAGGGAGGGAGGGAGGGAGGGAGGAAGGAA